TCTCTCTCTCTCTCTCTCTCTCTCTCTCTCTCTCTCTCTCTCTCTCTCTCTCTCTCTCTCTCTCTGTGTGTGTGTGTGTGTGTATGTGTGTGTGTGTTGTTGGGTGCCAGAGCAGAGCATCTTACTGTTCTGGGTTTTCACAATTAAGCAGCGAGATGGGCTGTTGCTTAAAAACAACCGTTCCAGCTGCACAAATGGGACCCCTTTCACGCCCGATGCAGGGAGGCCCAGAGGGAGGCGAGAGAAGTGAAGCCCTTCTGCAGAAGCCTTCCACTCCCTTCCCGGTTTGGCCCTCAAGGGCCGTTGCAGGATGAGAAACAAGCCAGGATTTGGGGTTGGCTTTCTTGTGAGCAAGGAATGCCTTTGTTTTCTGTGCCGCCTGATGGCCTCTTCTGCCCAGGGAACCCAGGGGCCCTCCTGGAAGTGCCTTCCCCCATGCCATCCCTTCCTTTTGGTGTCCCTCCAGCAGGGCCAGCTCTGACCATTCGCTCCCTCGCTGGCCCTTCCCTTCCTCCAGAAAAGCCCTCCCCACTCTGCCAAGAAGTGCGGCAAGTCCACGCTTGCCTCCCCCACCGGTGGAAGGGCCTGGTGAAAATCCAGCATCACTGCCCCCCCCCCCCACTGGCAGGAGTGGGTGGCAAGGGGGCTGCAGGTGGGCAAGTCAACCCCTGCCCAACTCTAGCCACTTTCTCAAGCCCCAAAGCTGGCAAGTGGTTGCCCCCAGGATCTGTGTCCAAGCCCCTCCTCCCCACCTCCCCCCCCCAAATCAAGCCACCATCAAACCAAGTTCCATTCCTGGCTGCTTACCCATCTATGTCGTTTCCTTGGCATCCTATGGGTGTCACTTATGGCCTTTTTCCGAGACAATGATTGAGGGATGGGAGACCCTCCCCCCAGTCCACCTGCAGCTCAGAAGCACTCAGGTGGTCTCTCCCTCCAGCTTAGCTGATCTCAGATCAGAAATGGTCCAGGGACTCCCTCCCCCTCCCACCGCCGAGTCTGTGCCAAACCCACCCAATGCACAAATCCGAATTAATGTTGTCCTTTGATAGCGGCAGGCAGCTGCAGAGCAGCCGAGGGAAAAATTTGCACAAGAGATTTGCCTAAAAAGCCACGGAGAGGGGCTTCTTTGGGCGGCATTTGTTTCCAGGCCTGGCTTTCCCTTATTACATCGAAAAGAGGAGGGGATGCTGCTGGAACCCAGAACAAAGGAAACCAGCATTCATGGCCTCTCCATGCACCGGCTGGCTGGGCAGCCTTTCGCTTTTTCTTTTCCTTGTTAGAAATAAAACACCCGTAGAATTTGAGGCAGGTTTTACTGAGTCAGTCAAGGGGACCAGGAACATCTGCAGGCTTGTTCTTGACCCCAGGGATTCAAAGTTCACCTTGCCACAACAAACACAGGAGCGAGTTAAAACAGCGAGCTCCAAAATGATTGTCAGGTTCACTCCAGAATTATTGATTTAGACCCAATTCCTTGTTTTAACTGCTAGGGATCCTTCTGCAGCCCTTTGTTTGCAAAGTCTGTGGTGATTTAGTGGGTATATAAATAGAACTAACCACAACAATATCCATTTAATCCCCAGGTTTATGTCTAATTTGATGGGGATTTCTGGACTCTAAACCATCCTGGTTAATAAGCATCCAAAGTCTTACTCCTTACACCTTTGTAATAATTGGGGAAATGTTTGTTTTAACTTTTGTGTTATTGTGTTGTGTTATTATTGTTAACTGTGGACAGATTCGGGGTGCAGTGCAGCTTAAAGGCTGAGAATGGGCAACTGCTTGTCTAGAGGAGAATTCCAGGGGAGGATTGGTAAATGAAGAAAGAGATGCCCCTCCGTTCCTTCTCATAGGACTTTGGCATTGCTCAGTAACAATAATAACACAACACAATAACACAAAAGTTAAAACAAACATTCCCCCAACTATTGCAAAGGTGCAAGGAGCAAGACTTTGGGTGCCTATTAACCAGGATGGTTTAGAATCCAGAAATCCCCATCAAATTAGACGCTTGCAAAAACCCCACCTCTCCAAAAACAGTATGCCCAAAATATCTGGACCTCAAGAACCTGTTATACACAGGCATCAACTTAATGACGGTAATTAAGCCTGGCCATTACGGTCGTAAGTTGTGATGGTCCTAAAACAAGTCATTATGCGACTGACCCAATTTTATGACCTCTGTTCAGAGCTGTTGATAAGCAAAGCCATTGTAGCAAATACTGGTTTGCATCAGTCACATGATTGTGGGACGCGGCAAAGGATTTTAAATGTGGGCTGGTTGCCAAGTGCCCAAAATCTGGGTAGGTGACCTTCGGGGGTGGAGGGTTGGCGGTCAGAACTTCGGAACTGGGTCTTTAGTACCTTTGGAGGACCCTGTCCTAACTTTCACTGGTCAGGAAGTGAACAGCCATAAGTCAAGGACTACCTGTAGGGAAATGAGGAGATACCTGGTGAACCTCTGGGCAGAACTCGCTGGCCCATGTTAGCCTGCTGGTCTGCAGTTTTGATCCCAATCTATTGCAAGTTGTTGTGTTGCTAATTTGTGTTGCTAACTGCTCACAAACAAAGAGAAAATAATTTCTCCAGCGCAAGCCTGCAGAGCCAATAGTCGAATCTTTCATAATGCTATCAAACCAAAACTAATGAGTACTGCAGGGAGGGGGGGAAATCTGCAGGAAACTTCCTATTTTTTTCATAAACCCAGAGCTCACAGCAAATTAAAGTCATTAAGATCTGATTTCCATTATCAGCATATTCTTTTAAACATTTACTTGAAGACAATCTTATCTTTCAATTAATTAATCTCATCCCCCCCCCATTTACCCAGTCTTATATCAAATCAAAATCCTATACGAATTAATAAGAATTTATGGGGAAAACTAATTTGGGAATAGATAATCTGAGGTCCAGGGCAGCGAAGCTGTTGATTTAAGAAATACCATTCTCTGTGCTGGAAATGGCCAAAGGATTTCCAGCAGAAGAAGAGGCAAAGTGCTTTCAGGAGGCCATGCTCAAACGTTCTTCTCAGAGAGATATCCAACCACCAAATACTCCCCGAGGGTTAGATTTTGGACTGTTCCCGTGATATCTGTTGCCCTCAACTTCACAGGAAGCATCCTTTTGGGAACTTGGGAGCCTGTTTCCTGCTAGGACCCCATGAGATGGAAATGCCCTCCTTTAGGCTATTGGGAAAGGCATCCATATAGAATAACAGAATTGGAAGGGACCTTGGAGGTCGTCTAGTCCAACCCCCTGCTCAAACAGGAGACCCTGGACTAGACCATTCCAGACTAGTGGCTGTCCAGTCTCTTCTTAAAAGCCTCCAGTGATGGAGCACCCGTAACTATTGTTCTCACTGTTAGCAAATTCCTCCTTTGTTCTAGGTTGCTTCTCTCCTTGATCAGTTTCCATCCGTTGCTCCTGATGTCCTGCCTTCTGATGCTTTAGAGAATAGGTTGACCCCCTTTTCCCTGTGGCAGCCCCTCAGCTATTGGAAGACTGCTATCATGTTGCTCCTAGTCCTGCTTTTCACTAGACATCCCCATTTCCTGCAACCGTTCTTCATATGTTTAGCCTCCAGCCCCCTAATCATCTTTGTTGGTCTTCTCTGCACTCAACATCTTTTTTTATATTATGGTGACCAAAACATCTGCAGGGGGGCCTTCTAGTTCAAAAGGGGTGGTTGAACTAAGATATGGGCTGGAGGCCCTGATGGTTTAAAGTCCCCCTACAGTCCCACCTGCCTCTTTCTCTCTTTGAATTTTTTTTTAAAATGAAATCAGCAATGCAAAAGAAAATTCTTTGGTAAATCATATCCGAGAAAAAACCTTGCATGAGCAGTACATTTTGGACTAAGGATGCGGGTAGAGAAATGGAATCTTTCTGGCAGATATTCACAAGGCACATTTTCCCCCCAATTAAAATTAATTATGCCCAAATGGAACACATGGTAATCTGTATGCTTTCTTTTTCACTCTTTCTTTCATTTAATTAATCTGCTATTGTAATTTTTAATGTTAAGTTAGAATCCTATCTTCCCAGCTTGGATATTCACCATAGAAGCTTCCTGATGAGTTTTAAATTCCAAAAGGTTTTTAACTACGCTGTTTAAAGATGTAAGCCACATAACAGTTCATAATAGCTCCTTTGGAATCATTAGAACTCAGGGTAAGTACAAGACACCCTGGCAGTAGTGGAAAATGCGCGCAGGAGGATGGTTCTGTCACACAAGTGGGGCACCCTTCTGCCTTCCATCAGCTCCATGGGCCTCCCCTATACTTCCTCATAGTATCTTCCTGACCACGATTAAAGGCTATTGTCTCAACTGAGATGCTCCTGGCTTGATTTGGTGCCGCAACAAAGTAAACCCATTAAGGCGAAAGCAAAGAGGTTCAAACAAATCCAGGAAAACAGCTAATTTTGGGAAAAGTCACTTGTCAAGCGTGGGAAAATCAGGAAATCCAGGCCGTTGAAGTGAATAAAGAGGTTTACTACAAGTTTATGCTCCCTACAAGGATCTAAACAACGAATGGTGAAAACAAATAGGCAGCAAATAAGAGTCAATGGGATTCAGGGTGGGCTGGACTTAGATCTCTTCTGTGCATGAAATGATTCAAGACAGATGACATACTTGACCCCTCCCTCACGCTCAGCCCTGATGTGTGGAAGGCTCTTTCTACCCTGCTTCCACACTTACAATTTTTGGTTGGGCTTAAAAAGCAAATGTTTGCATAAAGAAATTCATCTCTTTATAAGAAGAGACATGATTACTCAATCAGTCACTGAGGGACTGAATATGTGGTCCGATTGACCAGCTTTGAAAATGGCTTCCCACCATCTGGTGGTGGCATCTAGTCTATCCTCGCTGGTGTTTATGTTCCGGTGTGGAGGAAGAGAATAACCTGAAGGCCGTTTTTTCTCCTCCATG